CTTGCCTTTGCCTGTATCTTGAGGTGTTTTGTCTATATTGTCCCTGACAGTTTTAAAGTCTGAGTCTTAGATTAAGGCATTTGATACATTGACCTGGTTTTTCTACAAAATGAGTTCTATTTTCATTTTTGTGTATAGGGAAATCCATTTCGTAAAGACATTATCTTTTCTCCAATGTATATTTTTGATAGTTTTGTCAAAAATGAGGTAGCTATGACTGTGTGGCTTAATTTCAGGGTTTTCTATTCCCCTCGTCTAGACATCTGCTTTCATGCAAGTACTATGCCCTGTAATGTAACTTGATGTTCCACAATACTTTCTACTAAGGGTTGGCTTAGCTAGTCAGGGACTTATAGGTTCCGTGTGAATAGTTGTTTCCCCCACCCCAATTCTGTGAATAATGCCAATGGAATTTTGATGGGAGTTGCCTTGACTATATGTAGATAGCTTTCAGTAATATAACCAACCATTTTGTGTTATTAATTTTGCTTCTCTGTGAACATGGGACATCTTTCCATCTTCTGGTGTAACATCCTTAATTTTCTTTTTCTTCATTGTTTAAAGTTTGCCCTCTAAAGATCTTTTGCCCTTGTAGCTGAAGTTTTCCTGGTCCTGCCTGGCCCACGGTCAGGACAAATCTCTCTCACGTGCCAGTCCCGCAGCCACTTGGACCCAATCAAACACATAGAGACATATTACTTAAACTGTTTGGCCTAATGGCTCAAGCTTCTTCCTATCTAGTTCCTACATCTTAAATTAACCCATTTCTATAAATCTATACCTTGTCACATGGCTCATGGCTTACCGGTATCTTACATGTTGCTACTCATGGCATTGGCTGGCAGCATCTCCTCTGCATCAGCCTTCTACTTCCCAGAATTCTCTTCTCTCCTTGTCCCGCCTATACTTCCTGCCTGGCTACTGGCCAATCAGCACTTTATTTATCAATCAATCATCCACAGCACACCCTCTTTGCTATGTTTATTTCCCCAAATTTTGCATTTTCTGAAACTGTTATAAATAGGATTTTCTCTCTGATTTCTTTCACAGTAAATGCACTATTGGTCTATAGAAAAGCTACTGGCTGTATGTTGATTTTGTATCCCAGTACTTTGCTGATGGTGTTTATCAGGCCTGAGAGGACTTTTTTGGTGGCATCTATACAGTCTTCTAAGTATGGGATCATGCCATCTGCAAATAGAGATAATCTGACTTCTTCCCTTCCTATTTGTATTTCTCTTACATTCTTGTCTTATCGCTCTAAGTCATTGAGCACTGTGTTGAATAAGAGTGGAAAGACATGGTGCTTTTATTATGTCCTAGATTTTAGAGAAAATTCTCTCAGTTTTTCCATATTTAGTATAATCTTGGGGTCTTAGTTACTTTTCTATTGTGTGATGAAACACCATGACTAAGGCAACTTATAAAAGAAAGCATTATTTGGGGACTCGCAGTTTCAGAGGACTAGAGTCTATGGCTAGAATCTGTCATGACTGAGAGCACGGCAGCAAGCAGACAGGCAGGCATGGTGCTGGAGCAGTGCCAAGAGCTTGCATATTGAGACTCAACCATAAGGCAAAGAGAAGGAGACACTGGGAATGGATGTAGTCTTTTTGAAACCTCAAAGTCCTCCCCCACTGACATACCTCCTCCAACAAGGCCACCTCCTAATCCTTCACAAACAGTTCCACAAACTGGAGACCAAGTATTCAAATATATGAGTTTATGAGAGCCAGTACCACAATTGGCTATGGGCTTGGTATATCACGTTAAAGTATGTTTCTTATTATGTTAAAGCATGCTCTTTTTATTCCTAGTTTCTACAAGTCTTTTGTCATGAAAGTTGAACTTCGTTGTTCTTTCTGTATCATTGAAATGATCATACGGTTTCTGCTCTTAGGTCTACTTTTATGCTAAATTATACTCAGTTTGCATATATTGAACCAATCTTGTATCTCTAGAATGAAGCCAACTTGGTCAATGTGTATGGGTTGTTTTTGTTTGTTTGTTTTATTTTTAATTTTGTTTTGTTTTATTTTATTTTTTGATGAAGTTTTTCTCTGTGTAGCCCTGGCTGTCCTAGAACTCGCTCTATAGACCAGGCTGCCCTTGAACTCAGAGATCTGACTGCCTCTCCCTCCCAAGTGCTAGGATTAAAGGTGTGAGCCACCACTGTCTAGCTTACTATCTTTTAAATATATCTTGAATATGATTTTAAAAGGTTTATTGAGAATGATTACATCTATGTACATTGGAGAAATTGGTTTCTCTTTGTTGTATCCCTATCCAGTCTAGTGAAAATCAGCAGTGAATTCATCTGGCTCTAGACTTTTCTTTGTTGGGAAGCCGCTTAAGAGATTATGGATCCCACTCTGTTTGGTTTCTGTTTCAAGATAGAAGTGTTCCTTAAACATGCACGTGCATCACAGATGTGACAAAGCTGGGATGCCCTCACCAGAGCTGAGCCAGTGCCATGAGCTGAATGGAGTTCTTTTTGTGAATTATGATTTATGAAATCAGCCTTTTTAAGGCATTTCAGCACAGTAATGAACACTGACAAATACAATGCCTGATTAGACTTTCCTATCTTGTGTTGGGGGATCTTGATGGTGGTGCTGCAGAGCCTGGTACATGCCAGGCAATGCTCTACCATTAGACTGTATTCCTGTCCTATGTCCTGTGTTGATCAAGAGACTAGTGGTGCTTTTCCTCAGTCCAAGCTATTTGGAGCTATTTTTTTTTGCATGTGAATACAATAAAGTCCATGCAGGGACGAATAAAAGATGAAAAATGGCCTATCCATTTAATCTTTTCTCTAGGCCTCTGAGCTTTTCTGTCTTCTTCCAGAAGAGGAACTGAAGGGTTAAAATACCTGCTAAATTCAATGTCTCAGATGGAAGGAGGTCCAAAAAAGGTGATGAAAGTTGTCTTGCTGACTTTCCCAGTGCAGATGAGAAGAGGGACTCAATGACAAAAGTACCCTAAAGCAATGATTTTAACCTGGGCTGCACATTACAATTAGCACAGGAGTCTTAAAAATGCTGATGGTTATCTATGCCCCACTCACAGGGGTTCATTTTTAATTATAACTGGATGAGTTCTGAGCATAAAGTCTTTAAAGCACTCAGATGACTTTGATCTGTGGACACAACTAATATCTTTGTTCTAATCTGGCTTAGGGTGTCAAGAACTCGGGCACTGATCCTAAGCATCGCCATTAACAAGAAGTGAGTGTTGGTTTGAGAGAAGCTTTTTAGTAACAGTCTAAACAGGAGCGTCCTCATCCAGTCTAGTTTAGTATACTAAAATAGTGTCTGTAAACACAAAGGAAGTTTGAACTAGGTTAGAAGGATGCATTTGTTGGCACAAAGAGTAAAACAAAGAAGAAATGTGGGTGTGAGTTCAACCAACTGAGCTCAACTAAGGGTCCCCTCAAACTTGGAGAGCTTTTCATTTTAATGGAAATAAAAACAAACCCTGACGGTTCAGAGAAATCATTAAAACAAATGTCATCCTTTGTTTCTGAATCACAAAGAAACTAAAATAGATATTCACTGTGCTTTATGATGACCATGGAACGTTTCCCTCACAGTGGCTTTTCAGAGAACAATAAAACTAGCGCAGTGCTGGTTCTCATCTTTGGGAAATATAAGGCCTTTACTGGCAGAAGAATTAAATCAACGGTGTATGGCCTCCTTACTTAGATGAGGGCAACTCAAGCTTGCAAATGATATCTACTCTGAGTCCTTCTCTACACTTTGACAGACAGAGCTTTCTCATCGAGTCTGTGCATGGGTGTGTAGATGCTGGGTGTGTGCTCATGCACAGTGTAGAGGGTAAAGATTGGTATAGAGTGTCTTTTTCTATCACCTTCCACCTTATTTTTTGAGACAGGTTCTCTCACTAAACCCAGAGCTCTGATTTGGTAGGATTAGCATGCCAACAAACCTCAAAGAGCCTACTGTCTGCACCTCCCCAGAGCGGGGATTACAAATGCATTTTGCCACTCCAAATTTTTATGTGGGTATTAGGAATTGGAACTCTGTGAGGACTTTACCAATACAGCCATCTTCCCAGCACCTCCACCAGCACACATACATGAATATGTACATGCATGGACATGCACATACTTTTTGTGTAATTGCTTTATTAGCTAATCTTTTACAGAGCCTATCCAGTGATAACTCAAGAAAAGATGGGAATTGGTAAAGACAAGTCTGATACGATAGCTGGCTGAAGCTAGTGGTAACCACTGCATGTTACCATGAACACACAGATATTCAGGAGAACATTGATGCTATGCATCCAATTCCCCAGTGAAACTTTCCTTAATGAAGGCAGTACGAATACCTCAGGTTTTAATGCTCTTAGACCCACTTGTGAAGTAACGTTGTCGTCCTTTCTAACTGGAGCACGTGGATGGCTACCATAATGCATGTTTTTTACCAACTGAGCCATCTCCTCCGCTCTTCTCCACATCCTCTGTTGGTTTTGCATTTCCTCCCTGCAAGGCCTTCATGCCCATTTCTCTGCTCATCCCTGTCTCTGGATCCTTCATACTATTTTATGCTCTGGCCCCCCACAGCTGCTCCCCCAGAGACGCCAGCCCTAGGGCTTTGTCTGCACTGCATTTCTGATGGTACAGCCTTCTTCTGTGTGCCATGGTGCTCTTGGCTCTGAAGAAACATCTTTGAAGATTCAGTTCAAAGTAACTTCCCCCATGAAGTGTCCCCAGTCAGCAATTTTCCCGTCACCTGCTTCCTCAGCCCATGGGCCCACTGTCATGGCACTTTTCACCAACACGGCACATTTACTTGCCTCATTTTTGCGACTGTACTCTGAGGATTTTAGTGGAAGCGATGGTATTTTAACCATACCCATCACTTATAATCATGATTAGTGTGGTATTTATTGAATGAATGAATTGAGTTTAACTGAATGTAATGAATGAATGAATTTGTTTTTTCATAGATTAATTTCTCTCTCAACCCTCCTCTCTTTTAATACATATGTACATATATCCCATGTAGGATAAAAGGGGAAGATTGAGGAGGTGGATGAACATGGCTGCCTTTACTTACCATTGACGCTCTGTGCCCGGTGGCTGAGGGTAAAGGTGAAGGGCTGTTTTCCCTTTGTGGGAAATCCAAGCAGGAACTATTCAGAGACCTTGAGCTTCCTGAGTCACTGTGCAGGTGTCCCTTTTCTGACAGCAGCCTGGATAGAAAGCTGGCCTTGCGGCTGCCTGGGCCTGTTCTATCCACCCAGACCCCACTCTCTCTTGCACTACCGTCGCTGCCTTGGAAGTGACTTTGAAGATCAGTGAGAGGTTTGCCTGAGGCCTCTGGGCCCTGGGATTGCTCCCAGGTTCCTAATGTAGATGGTGGGCAGTGTGGAGAAGCTGTCATTGTACCTAACCAGGACTGAGACATTACATGTTTTGGGCCAGAGAAGGACCGGCGTGGTTGCTGTCCTGGGTGCTGAATTTTGGCACAGCCATCATGGGGGCATGGGCTGTGGACATGGAGCTGTCCATTGTTGGTAACTTTCTCAGCCCAGTCTCTTTTGCTACAGGAAACATCTACCTCATGTTGCCTGGGATGTGGGATTTGCCACATGCTTTTAGACCTTGGTATATTGACTCGGATGACTTGCTGTTTGTTGTTGGCTTGAAGTACTGAGAATCTTTCAGGTAAAGAAGAACAAACCACACACGGCTGTGCCCCTGAGTAGTTTGTTGAATGGAATGGAGGGCCTGTTTCATTCTCAGTTTTCCCACTGCTGGACTTCCCATCGAGTGCCCTCATGATTTTCCTGATGCCCAGATGAAATATTTCCAGGATATTGAGTAACAAGGAAAAGGCAGCAATGCTGTGCATAAAGAGCATGAAAATGGTCTTCTCTGTAGGCCTGGATACAAAGCAGTCCACTGCATTGGGGCAAGGGGGTCGGGTGCATTTGTAAACAGGGTGCATTTGAAACCCATAGAGAATATATTGGCCCAACATGAACCCTACTTCTAGCATAGATCTGGTCAAGATGTGTAAGACATAAGTACGCAGCAGACATCCTTTCAGAGGGACTTTATGAATCCTTTTCTGCTCTTCGAGTCTCCTCAGCTCCCTCTCTACCCTTTGCTGCTCTTCCAGGTCAAGCTCTGGATCCTCCATCTGGGCTCTAAGGTGTGACTTCTTCTTCTGCCTTTGCTTCTCAAAGTCCCTGAGTCTATAAAGCGCATGGCCCATATACACCAGAGAAGGGGAAGACACGAAGATGATCTGCAAAACCCAGAACCTGATCAAAGAGATAGGGAAAGCATCATCATAACAGATATTGTTGCAACCTGGCTGCTGGGTGTTGCAGGCAAAGGAGGACTGTTCATCATCCCAGACATCCTCAGCAGCGACACCAAGCACCAGCATTCGGAAGATGAAGAGGATAGTCAACCAGATTTTCCCCACTATGGTTGAGTGGGAGTGAACTTCCTCTAGGACGCCACCCAATAAGTTCCAATCGCCCATGGTTAGAAATTCATGTCTGAAATATACAGAAAACAAGGAGGTTAATAGAAGTGAAGGATCTAACATATAAAGGCACATGCTCATAAATAGCACAGATTCTTTGCTTAAGTCAACACGACTCCTGATATCTTTGCTTCATACTTGAAACTGGAATTTTCCAAGGAATATCAGTTTCTTGGTTTTTTTTTTTTTCTCTCTCTCTCTCTCTTTCGGTTTTTCAAGACAGGGTTTCTTTGTGTAACAGTCCTAGCTATTCTGGAACTCACTCTATAGTCCAGGCTGGCCTCAACTCAAAGAGATCTGCATGTCTCTGCCTCTGCTAGGATTAAAGGCGTATGCCACCACCACCCTGAAATATCAGTTTCTGAACAGAATACTAACTCTCTACAATCTCACTCAGTTTATGTCTCATTCTCTTGACTCCCATACGTATTTGCCTTTCATTCTAGGACACCTATTAGTCTCCATGTTTGTACAATGCATTCCACAGTCTTGTTTCTTTTTCTGCTCATTGAGAGGCCTATTTATCTCACATCTAACATGATCGTAAATAAGGCTCAACTGCCCTAGAACTTTTCTCTAGCACTCTGACACCCACTGACTTTTTCCTTTCCTAAGTTTCCACAGTCAGTCAGTCATTTAGCATTTTGCCTAGAAGAATTTTGTGATGTTTGTGTTTTCTGTCTCATTTCTTGGAAAGGTGCACCTCCTGCAAGTAGAGACTCTCCATGGTATCTTGATCTCTCTACACAGAAGGCATCAATATGAAAATTTAAAATATGTTCCTGTGAGTCTTTCACTGAATTAACTATCAACAGGGAAAGCAAAGTAAGTGCTCATCATATATTGATAATGCTGTCATTATAAGATGAAACATACATAAAGAGAAATCAGCCAAGAGAATCCTTGGAAACTGTTTCAGGTCAGGGTGGTGGTAATGTTTAGGCAGACACAGAAACATTGTCAATAAGACGTATCTGGAAAGCCATGTCTTCATGGAATTTTTGCAAACTTGAAAAAGTTAATGTAAATTGTTTCTCCAGAAAGCTTGTCCTCTAAGAAAGAATCAAGGTATAAGTGGTATATACAAGTTATGCTGTTTATCCTGGAAAAAATAATGCTTTTCAAGTTTCAATGAGGTTAAAATACTTAAGATTTCTAATATGTGGAAGGCTTATACATATGAAATACATATATTTAAGTTAAAATATACAATGACAAAATTTTAATTTTAAAATTCATCTATTAAATAATATTTTCTGAAGTCTTACTGCTACCTAGGCATTGTACCAGATGTCACAAACTCAACAAGTATGGTGTATCTGGTCCCTCACAGTAACTGATCGCTAAGGACTACTACTAACCTATAAGCCACCCCCAGAACATGAGTATGGGAGAGCTGGCCTCACCACTTGTCTGTCAGTGAGTGACGTGGGTGAGGCAGAAATGCCCCCCTTTGCCTCTCCCCACCTGATGTAGGTGGGAAAGTTGCCCCTGAGGTCAAGAAGGCTGGAGAACTGGCCCTGCCCCTCACCCACTGCAACACATGGGAGAGCAGGTACTACACCTCCCCTGGCCTCACAGTAGAGCTGACCCTGTTGTCAGGGATGCAGATATACCCACCCTAAGGGCGTGAGATTGGAAGAACTGACCCCACACCCACTCAGCTGCCAGGCAGTGGCATGGGCGAAAGGAAAGATGCCCTCCCCCTCTCTGTCCCTCACCAGTGGCAAGTGGGAGAGCTGGCCTCAGGGGCATGAAGGTAGGAGAACTGTCCCTGCCCCTCACCAGCTGCAACATTTGGGAGAGTGGCCCCTGAACCTCACCTGGGTAACAGAATAGAGCTGGCCCTGGTGGTGTAGGTGTAAGTGAGCTGGCCCCAAAGCCTGAGAGCAAAAGGGCCAGTCCCACCCCTTGCTGCTTGCTGCATAGGGTGAGCTAGCCAGGGAGGGGCCAGGGAGCTTGTCCTGATGATGAGGATAAGGAAGAACTGGCAGGCTGACCAACCCAGCTACCACCCAGGCCCAGAACCAGGGCTATGAGTTGGTCTACCTCAGTATCCACCCCATCTATGATCTGCTGGAGCATGTAAAGGGGCTGGTCCTGCAGACCCAAAGGTGCAGGATCTCCGTGACACAGGGCAACAGCAGGATATCCAAGAGGAGTCCCAGTGAGGACCCTGCAGAAGCCAGAAGCCTTGAACTAGACCAATGACTCATTGCAGTGAATATTTGCAAGTAAAGACGTATGGACTGAAGGGTATACTTGTGACTCAGTGTCACAGTGTGGCTTCCATGATGAGATTTTGTTTTTCTTTTTCTTTTCTTTTAAATTTTATTTTATTTTGTTTTGGCAAGGAAGTTGCAGGGGCAGAGGGCAGAGGTGAAGGGAGGGGAAGATGAATGGGATCGGGATGCATGATGTGAAATCCACAAAGAATCGATAAGAGTTTTTAAAAAAAGAAGAAAAAGAAAAAGATATCCACCCTGGAAGGATTTATCTTTTCTCAGACTTTCATTATTCTTAAAGTAAATAGTTTTGCAAATCTAAAAATAGTAAGTAAATAAAAATCAAATTATCTTAAGATAAAAAAGAATAGGAAATGGATTTTGAAGAATATCAATCTTAGAAATTATATTTAGTATTTATTTAAATTACATTTAAATTTTTATTTAAAATCACGTATTAACCATTTTTATTCAAATGGCAAAATGGAAAAGTCCAGAAGTCATGTACATCTAAAGGAAAAACAAACAAAAACCTACAACAAAACACACATATAGACACACAAAGCAGAGCTCAAGATATAATTTCAGCTTTCAGGGAGGCCCAGGAGTTTGAAGCCAATGTAAGAAACACAGCAATAATCTCAACTTAAAAAGAAAAGCTCAGCTGGGCGGTGGTGGCACACTCCTTTAATCCCAGCACTCGGGAGGCAGAGGCAGGCAGATCTTTGTGAGTTCAAGGCCAGCCTGGTCTACAGAGGGAGACCCAGGAAAGGCGCAAAGCTACACAGAGAAACCGTGTCTCGAAAAAAACCAAAAAAAGAAAAAGAAAAAGAAAAAGAAAAGAAAGAAAGAAAGAAAGAAAGAAAGAAAGAAAGAAAGAAAGAAAGAAAGAAAGAAAGAAAGAAAGAAAGAAAGAAAAGCTCAGGCATGGTAGTGCATTCCTATAATCCACACATTTAGGAGGTTTGAGGTAGAAGATAATCATGCATCTGAGGTGTGGAACACACATTGAGATTTCACTTGGAAAACCAACCGGAATTGGAAAACTCATTATTGAAAGACCCCAGTACTCCCTGTGTTAATCAATCCATAGGTCCATGTAAGACTTTCAATCACCAAATAAAAATGCCATAAATGCACACATATACATATGTGTATATAAGATACATATGATTATATGAGCATGGGAAGGAAATCCAGGAGCATAGATACAGGCTACCTCAAGTGTGAGGTGAGAAGCATAGAGAGAGAATTCGAAGAGAGAAGGAAGAGGCAGAAAAAGAAGCAAAAGAAGAACAAATTTCTAAGAAAATATGACAAGGCTGGAAAGAGAGCTGGTTATGATTCCTAGCACCCGCATGGCAGGTTACAGTCATTCATAACTCTAGTTCCAGGATAGCCAACTCCCTCTTCTGACCACTGCAGGCACTGTGGAGGCCCACAAAGATTTCCTAGTGAGATCTGAGCTTGCTTTGCCCAGCAGGACTGCATTAGAGGATTGCTTGACCATGTGCATGGTTACTTGGTGATTAGAAGGGTCTGTACTTGGCTGTGCTAGGGAGAGGTCTTTTGCTCCACCCCTTGGCATTCCTATAAATAGCCCTTTAGAAGAGACAGAAGGTTATCCTGCATTTCTGTTTCTCTCCCCTCTCTTCTTCTACCTAAATCTCTTATCCCTCGCTCCTCAAGAGTACCCTGAGGTAAAATGTGGGGGCTGGTTGCCCAGGTGGCCTCCCACAAGGCACCAAGCATGCAAGTGGTGCCCAAGCGTATATCCAAGCAAAACACTCATACACATAAAATAAATAAATCTTTTTTATAAAAGAAAATATGATTGATTTTATCGAATAAAAACATTTATGTAAATTAACCTGTTTTCATATGTATGTATGAAGAAATGTTTAAATGGAATTGTCTTAGTTAGGGTTTCTATTACTGTGATGAAATGCCATGACCAAAAAGCAAGTTGGAGAGGAAAGGGTTTATTCAGCTTATACTTCCACATCACTGCTCATCAGTGAAGGAAGTCAGGACAGGAACCCAAACAGGTCAGGAACCTGGAGGCAGGAGCTGATGCAGAGGCCATGGAGGGGAGCTGCTTACTGGCTTGCCCCTCATGGCTTGTTCAGCCTGCTTTTCTGTTGTTGTTTTTTGTTTGGTTGATTGGTTGGTTTTGAGTTTTTTGAGACAGGATTTCCCTGTATAGCTTTGGAGCTTGTCCTGGAACTCACTCTGTAGACCAGGCTGGCCTTGAACTCACAGAGATCCACCTGCCTCTGCCTCCCAAATACTAAAGGTGTGTGCCACCACTGCCCAGCTGCTCAGCCTGCTTTCTTATAGAACTCAGGACCACCAGCCCAGGGATGGCCCCATTCACAATAGGCTGGGCCCTTCCCCATCAATAACTAATTAAGAAAGTACTTTACAGGCTTGCCTACAGCATGATCTTACAGAGGCATTTTCTCAATTGAGGTTTCCTCCTCTCAGATGCCTACCTAGTGTCAAGTTGATACAAAACTACCCAGCACAAGAATTGAGAAAGTAGTAGACGTTTCTCATAATTTAAGGATCTTTGTTTTGAGACAGGGTCTCACTATATAACTGAGGCTGGCCTTAAAAAAAAAAAAAAAGAAAGAAATCCTCCTGCCTGAACTTCCCAAGTATGAGGCTTTCAGAAGTGGACCACAGTACCCAGTCTACATCATAAAATTTGGAAAAAATAATAAGGACACTTTTATATTTTATTCTATATATTTGTGAGCTATTTGAAATGCAAAATAAGAGTGTAGAAAAAAAAGGAGAT